TAGAATGGAAATTAACACTTGGTCATGAGGAGAAGTTCTTTTTCCTTATTATGCTACCATACATATATGTTAAATATTTTGATTATTATTAAAATAAAAAAGTCTTGTGTTATCTAGGGGATGCATGAATGGACCAAAGGAAAAGTCCAATAGAATGTTGAGTACAAAAAATGACCCCATAAAAAAATTGATGAAAAGGAGATTGAAGTTGCAACCTAAAATAACTAAAATGCCTAAATTTGCTTTCTATAAGAGATGACTTTTGGATACATTTCTATAATATATTGATAATTCTTTATTATCATCAAAATGAAAATTAACACTTTTTGATGAAGAAATATTTTTCCTTTATTGGGCTTCTATACAAATTTGTTGAATATTTTAATTATTATTGAAATAAGGAGTCTCTTGTTATACAAAGGATCTTTGAATGGACCAAAGGACAAGAACAATAGAAAGTAAAGTATCAAGAATGACCCCATAAAGCAACAAACTAATGAGAAGAAGATTGAAAATGCAACCTAAAAAAACTGAAATGCCCATATGTACTATTCACAGGACATGACCTTTGAAGTATACTTATATAATATTTTAGTGTTACTTGTTTGGGATCTTAGTTATTAAAAAAAATACTAGTTGGAGGGCATTTTAGTCACTTTAACACAATATAATTTCAAATTAATACTTTGATCTTGTAATGTCATTTTAGAATTGTTTAGGATTGGTTTAAATTAAAGCTATCTATAGTCCAGTAATGAATTTCTCCCTAATTTCTATTTTTCAAAGGAAGAATAGTGAAGGAACTATGGAGGATTTTATTTACTGAGAAGGACTAAATGATTTTGAAATCATGCTGCAAATGTAACATCCCAATTTTAATCCTTGGGTTAGTAATGAATTAATCAAGTTTAATTTGATGAAATTGATGTAGGGAATGGTTCAAGAGGATTAAGGAACCTTTTTAGGCTTAGTAATGACCTTAGGATGTGGGGTTGAGGCTGGCCATGCAGGCTAAGAAGGGAGAGAAAATTAAGGTGTATGGTTTGTAACATGCACCATGGTATGAGCATGGTCAGCCATGACGCATGGCCTATTTTTTACCAAAAAGAGACGTGAACTGATGAGAAATCAAAAGAGTTAAAAAATAGAAATGAGGAGAATGAAGAGAGCTCTACTAGGGCACGACTTTAGGAAGGATTTGAGAGGGTTTGAAACTCCTAATAACTAATGTAAGTCTTTTCTATCCTACCTCCTCCTCTCTATACTAGTTTAAAGCTAGGGTTTGAAGTGTAAAGTTGATTTTTAGTATATACAGGCTATGAGCCCTAATCCATTGACTTAAATAGAGTTAATGGGAGTTGTCTAGGTTGGTTAAAGCTAGTACTGATGATTTTATAAGTTTTTGGTTGACAAGCCTTATTAATGACTAAAAATAAGGCATTAATGACTCAATGTGAGATTTATAATGGTTAGTTGGGGATGTATATAAGTTAATACACCTAATGCATAAGCATATAGATAAGAAATGAGAGCTTTGAGTGTTTTGGAGATTGAAAGATTAGAGTTGGAAGCATGCATTTAATAATGTTGATGAATTTAGACTTGATTAATTATAGATTAATTGTTGGGGCACCACTTTGGCTTTGGAAAGCAAGTTTGGAAGCAAGATATTGAGGGGTAAACATTTAACCTCTCAAAAGTTTGAGGTAATTGGGGGAACCCTACTTTGAGTAGTATTTGTTAATTGAATTTTGAATGTGAAAATGGGTTTACTTGGATGTATGATTGAATTTTTAAATGTGAAAGCATGCTATAAACCATATGTTAGTATTATGAATCCTGATTTTGCTTAAATGTAAAGTTGAATTTGAAATGAATTTCTCCAACTATTAATGTGCTTTGAAATGAAAAATTTATGATGTGTGATATGTGAAATGATGGTGATATGGTGGTATCATTGTATTGAAAACCGGACCGGACCGGCCGGGTCAACCCGGAAACCGGTGACCCGGTCCCTTGTCCGGTCTGGGTTTACTCCTAAACCGGTGAGGGGGTGAACCGGTGTAACCCGGTCAACCCGGGGTCAACCCGGTGTAACCCGGATAACCCGATGGGTTGACTGGGTTAACCGGGTCATGATTTTTCAGACAAAAATCCCCAAAACGACGTCGTTTTGGGGGATTTGTTTTTTTTTTTAATTTTCTTTCGGTCCAAATCCAGAGCCCATGGTATGAAGCCCAGACGCAGACGGACGCCAGACAGCACCAGCTTTCCGCCTTTCCCTTTCGTGACTTACGTCTGTGTCTTACCGTCTCTCCTCAGTCCTCTCTCTCGCCCTAATCAGCGTCCTACTCTCCGACCCTCCTCTCTCGCCTTTCCCTGTCTCCGACCATCCGTCCTCTCCAGCTCTCTCTCTCTATCTCTGCTGTTCGATCTCTCCTTTAGCTCAGTGTACGACTTCCGTCTCTTAGCCTGATCGATCTGAAATCTCAGCCGGTCAGTTCGTGACAGCTCGGTGTACGCAGCTCGCATTTTGCTTCAGGTTAGTTACTATTGATCGTGCACAACTCTGTTTTTTATTTCGTGATTCAGCTTAAGTGGTCGACTCTGTTGCTAGTGATTTGTTTCTTGCTTGTTTGGCAGATCATTTTGTATGTGTGAAACTTTCTGGTGTTTTGTGTTTTTCTGGTTTTAAGGTTTCTTTACTGTTAATTTGTGCTTTTATGTTGCTTCGGAAATGAAGCTATATGTATGTACTGGTTTAGTTTCATAATCATCTGTGGCTTTGATAATATAATGTTTGATCTTGGCTTCGGATCTAGGCTTTCTTCTGGTAATGATTTTGTGTTTGATCTTGTTTGACAATATAATGTCAGTTTATGGTTCTGTTTAATATTTCAAGTAAGTATGGAGAGGACTTTGAATCTGACAGCTCAAGCCTATGCTTCATGACTTTGTAGATCGATCATGTCCAAGCCCTTTAAAATTAAATAGGGATTATTGATGGCGCTTTCTGATCTTTTCCTGCTCTGTGATCTGTTTATCTTGTTGATGATTTGGGGGTTATATATGTTGGTTGGGAAAATGAGATCTTTGCACGTGAATTGCTATTATATAGATTGCAATCTCAAGGCATATGTTTTATCCTCTGCTCAGGTTCATACTGTGTGTGCATTTTAAAAATGTTGTGATTTTCTATCTTAATTTTGAACTACGGATTGCACTATGTTATAGACAGGGCATATCTAGCTTCTTATTTTTCCTTCTTTCTTTGTGGCCAAACTTGAAAACTATGCAGTCAACACTGAATATGACTAATCAGCATTTGTGTGGAAAAATGAAATTGAAGCTTAGTCATTATTTTAGCTTGCAGGTTAAAATATAATTATTGCATTGATCATGGATATTGGAAGTAATCCTAGTAGTAGTGATAGAAATGAGAATCCTACCTCTAATTCCAATGATCCCCCTCCTAGTGGTAATGATTCAACATATGAGGCCCCATCTATGCGTGGAAAAACTGATCCTGCTTGGGCACATGTTGCCTTAAGAAAAGAAGGCAAGAAAAATATATATACTTGCCTTTATTGTGCATCAAGCTATGGAGGAGGTGGGATTAACAGAATGAAGCAACATCTTGCTGGTGTAAGTGGTCAAGTAGCTTCTTGTAAAAAAGTTCCTCATGATGTACGTCACAGAATGGTAGAGTCTTTGAAAGGTGGGAGAAAAAGGAAGGTTAATGATAGAAAAGAACAAGAACAAGAACAAGAACAAGTAGACATAGGGGACCTTGAAACTAATGATCCAATTGCTCCTACTCCAATTAAGATAGTCCTTGAGAGAGGTGCCAATAAGAGGCAAGCTTCTACTATTTCAGTTGAGAATTATTTTGCCCCTAGGACAACTCCTGGTTCCCAGCCTGGCATCAAAAGTGTGTTTGCAACAAAAGAAGCACAGTACAATGCAAAAATGGCTATTGCTGAATGGGCTATCATCAATTGCATTTCATTTAATGCATTAGATTGCCCTTCATTTCAAAAAGCCATAGATGCTATTGCTTCTATTGGGCCAGGGTTTAAAGCCCCTAATGCTTATGAATTTAGAGTCAATTTGTTGACAGATTGGAAAAAAGAATGTCAATTACTTATTGAGAGTCATCGGGCTAAATGGAAAAACACTGGATGTACACTCATGGCTGATGGTTGGACAGATGTGAGGCAGCGAACTTTGATTAATTTCTTAGTCTATTCTACACATGGAATGGTTTTTGTGAAATCTGTTGATGCATCAGATTTGGTAAAAGATGCTAGGACTTTATTCTCGTTGTTTTGTGAAGTGATTGAGTGGGTTGGTCCTAAGAACATTGTTCATGTGGTGACTGATAATGCTGCAAATTATGTAGCATGTGGCAAGTTGATTAAGGAAAAATATAAAAATATTTATTGGTCACCTTGTGCTGCTCATTGTTTGAACCTTACTTTAAAAGATATAGCAAGCTTGGACAATGTGTCAGCACTTGCAACTAAGGCATCAAAGATAACTGTTTTTGTTTATAATCATATGATCTTCTTGTCATGGCTAAGGAAAAGATCGGGTTGGAAAGAAATTGTACGTCCTGGTGCAACAAGATTTGCTACTACATTTATTACGTTGCATAGCATATATATGCATAAGCATGACTTGCAAGCTTTGGTGACTGATAAGCACTTTGTGGATCACAAATTGTCAAAGACTCAAGCTGGAATAATTGTTACTGCCATCATATTAGATAATGGCTTTTGGGGTGATTGCTTAGAAATTGTGAAGGTTGTATCTCCTCTTATAAAGTTGTTGAGAATTGTGGATTCAGATGAGAAGCCTTCTTTGCCTTATGTTTATGAAGGCATGCAAAGGGCAAAAAAAGCAATTAAGGCAACATTCAACAATAAGAGAGATTATTACAAGCCTTACACAAGCATTATTCAAGCTCGATGGGATAAGCACTTTAAGACAAATCTTCATGCAGCGGCATATTTGTTGAATCCTGCATTCTTGTATGATGAGAATTTTGTTCACAAGAGAAGGTTAATGGATGCAATGCTTGATGTGTTTGAGTCAAATGAAAGTGAAGAAATTGATTATATTGTAATGATGAAGCAATTGAGCTTGTATCGTGATCGTAAATAATCTTTTGACAAAACTTCATGTGAAAGAGCAGCTCAGAAATTAGATCCTTGTGAGTATTCATATTTATTATTTAACATGTTCATGGTAATTCTAGTTATTATATGATTAACATCTAACTAAGTGTCTTTTATTTGCAGATGAATGGTGGTCATTCTATGGAGGTTCTGTTCCAGAATTGCAAACTCTTGCAATGCGTATTCTTAGCCAAACTTCTTCTTCTTCTGGCTGTGAAAGAAATTGGAGTTTGTTTGAACGCATCCATACCAAAAGACGAAATAGATTACAACATCAAAGATTGAATGATTTAGTTTTTACAAATTATAATCTGCGATTGAAGCATAGGTAAAAATTAGAGTTTTAAATGGCAATGCTTTTATAATTTATAATTGAATATGAATTTTATTATTGTTTATCATATTTGATTATTTTATTTTTTTTCAAGGAGTCAATTGAGGAAAAATAAAAGTTATGATCCCATTGATTATGAATCAATTGACAAAATTGACTTTTGGGTGGCTGAAGAAGAGGAAGAGCCAGCTCCTGAGTTTGATTCTCAAGAAGTTGCAAATCTTGAAAATGTCATTCACAATGAAACCATAGCTACTCCATTAATCCTTGAGAGGGATTATGAAGGTTTATTAAATTTACTATCATGTTTAATACAAGTATATGAATTTTTTGAAATGCCATTCATTAGTATTAATTTCTATTTGTTGTATTGTAGGTGATGAATATATGAATGTTCTAGAGCCCCCATCTTTGCCTGATGTTGCTAGTGGTTCTGGTTTTTCTCATTCCAGTCCTAATGTCTCAATGCCTGGAGATTTGAATGAAGTTAATGATGATTTTGGTGTTGGTCAATATTAGTTACCATGGACATGTTAATCATATGATAGAAAGGTTGTCATTGTAAGGATAGATATTTGAAGTATTGTATTTGGTTGAATGTTCTTATAATTAGTTACCGTGGTATTGGTGTATGGATATGACATGTGAGGCTAAATGAGAATTCAAATTGAGTATAAAATTGAGAATGGAAGTGGATAGTGTTGTGAATATAATATTGATGCTCACTTAGGAGGTGTATTATCATAAACCCAACATGTTGATATTGAAATAATAAAATTGAGAAATAATTGAGTATTGTACATTGTATGATTAGTTGGTGTGAGTTTGCTTAAGGAGAGGAGTAGATAAAGTCTATATGGTATATACGGCTACCTTCAAGTACGTGAAAGCATAGCCTTATCCCACTATTTGTAGAGAGATTGTCCCATAGTTTGTCAAGGGATTAGAACCTAGCTTAGTGTATACCATATGGTCTTTACCTTTTTATTAACAAGGCTAGCTTAGGGTATACAACATCCTACAGATTTGAGAGTATGGGAATCCATAATCTGAGAGAGTGTTGTGATCGTTGGCTAAGTCCACCTCATAATTGGTGAGCTTAGGTAGTCCAATCACATAGACGAAGTCTTGTTTGTTATTATAGTCCATAGTTTCAGTTGGAAGATATAAAGAGTGTATAAGGTGGAATCAATTATGCATATGTATTTACCCGATGTGTCATATAGTTGTTAAGTTTGTGACAAGTTGTAATAGTGAGCGTGTCATTGTCAAATAGTTATTGGTGTTGTGGCAATGTGTATGGAATTAATAAATTAGATCATTGTTACATGTTTGTGTGTTTTGTGGCAATGTACCCTGTGATTTGAGATAAGAAGTATTAAAATTAGATAAATTGTGAAATGACAACTTGTGTGGCATGTAAAAGTATATTTGGGGTAATCAATTCCATTTATGTATATTTATTCAATTGATATACAATTGTATATGATAGGTGTACCTTAGTTACTGAGTAGCTAGACTCACACCTTTCTTTCAATACTTTACAGGCTCTAGCTCTGGTATAGAAAAAGGAAAGACTTCTAAGGCTTAGGAATCTAGGATTCCTTTTGTATAGCTTCTTTGACCTCATTTTATTTTGCGTAATAGTTTAAATATTATCAATTATGATGCATTTTGTTTACACTTGTATTATATTATTTTTAATGAATTTGAGATGTATTTTAGACCCTAGAATGTTGTATGCTTGATGTTAAATTATTAATAGGGCCAAAATACTAGTACAAGTATGGGGATATTCATTTGATTATAACTGTGAATGTTGATTTTGAAATACAATGCTAAAGTATCTCTATTTTGTTTTTGGTATTAAAGGGGGTTGAGGAGTGAAAATTTGATACTATGGTGTAATGTGCATTTGGTGTGTTACACTAGTAGTCATAAGTCCACTAAGGATGGTTTGGTATTAGGAATGACATTTGGCACTTGTATGGAGTATTGGACACCTTTGAGTTGTGGAAATGGTTTGAATATGTGTTTTAGTATTCAACTTCCTTGTATAACTAAACTTGAAAGTACAACATGCCATTATTTTGTTTATAAAAAGAGCTTTTCATAAAAAACTAGATCACCACATTTAGACCTCAGATGGAGAATTAGGGCACATCTAAAGTTTCCCGAAATTGTTGTCAAATGATAGCAAAGTGGCTGTCAAAAACATGCAACACACTATGGCGCATTGCTCTATTTTTTAGTTTTTGATATTTTTCAACTGTTTTCAAATCATTCACTTCTCTAAGATATCCTATGCTTTTGAAACATTATTTTATTTTGATTAAAAGTATAATAAGTGATTTTGATATGTTTTAAACTATAAAAATTTAGGATCCCATTTATGCAAATTACAAACTTTGCAATCTTATTTGGGTTGTTTCCTTGATTACCTTAGATTTGAATGTTAAATATGATTGGGTAAGGGAAATATTACAATAGGACCAAGGAACCAAAATGTAATTAAGTTTTAGTGTGAAAAGACAAAAGTGCCTCTCATTTTTTTAGAAATCTTCTTAGTCATTGGCTGCTGGAGCTCTAGTGCAGGTGGCGAGACCACCATGTCAAACAGGCCATTGGAGCTCAAGTGATGGTGGCTAGACTGCTAATAGGAGCTCTAGCCAATCACTAAATTGGTGAGGAAAACAAATTAATTTTTTTTTTAAGGTAGCCAAGGTGGGGTTTGAACCCACATCCTCTTGGTTACCAAAAAAAATATTAGCCACTAGGCTAACAATTCCTTTCAATCATATAATGCAAATATATATATAGCTTTGTTTCTACTTTTCATGCCAATATTTATTAAGATCACATTGGCTATTTGTCATTTTACAAATAGCTGCTTATTAAACAACTAATGAGACTTGTTAAAAAAATTAATATGCACTAATTTTTATAAATGCTTATTTGTTTTTATCATCAAAAAGACAAGTCCCCATTAACAACTTAACAAATAACCATTTGTGAGATGACAAGTCTCATTACTAGCCTTGAAAATTTCTCTTGATAATTTGATAAATAAATTTTAGTAAAATAACAAATTTATATAAGCTTTTGACATGTAAGCTTTTGGTAATAAAAACAAGTAAATATGTAAAAAAAAATCACTCCAAATTAAATTCCTTTAACAAGTTCTTATTGATAACTTAACAAGTAATTATTTTTGAAATGACAAGTCTTGTTACCACTTTTGAAAATTTCTCTTCATATATGAACTTTATTACTAAAATTTTATATGTAAAAAGTTTATATGAATTTGTTATTTTGCTAAATTTTTTTTATCAAATTATCTAGAGAAATTTTTAAAGCTAGTAATGGGACTTGTTATTTTATAAATGGTTACCTATTAAATTATCAATGGGGGCTTGTAAAAGAAATTATATACAGAGTGATTTTTATAAATGTTACTTGTTTTTATTACTACAAGCTTATATGTCAAAAGCTTATATGAATTTGTTATTTTGTTAAAATTTACTTATATAATTATTAAGAGAAATTTTTAAAACTAGTAACAAGAGTTGTCATCTCATAAATGATTACTTATTAAATTCCTAATGAGGAGTTGTCATTCCTGGCAATAAAAACATGTGCACGTTAAATTTTTAAACAAATTTTACTAGTAGTTTAACAAGTAGTTATTTGAAAAATGACAAGCAATCATTTAGCTTATGGTAAATATTGACATGAAAATTGAAAGAAAATTTTAAAATATAATGAGATTTGTGATTTCACAAACGATTACTTGTTAAATTATCAATGAGAACTTGTTAAAGAAATTTAATATGAAATAAGTTTTTAAAATATTTGCTTGTTTTTATTACCAAAAACTTATATGTCAAAAGTTTATATGAATTTGTTATTTTACTAAAATTTACTTATGAAATTATTAAGAGAAATTTTCAAAGCTAATAACGAGATTTGTTATCTCATAAATGATTACTTGTTAAATTGCTAATGAAAAATTATCATTCTTGATAATAAAAACAAGTATACATTTATAAAAAAAATGTATATTAAATTTTTTAACATGTCCTATTAGTAGTCTAATAAGTAGCCATTTCTAAAATGACAACTAATCTTTGAACTCTTGGTAAATATTTACATGAAAAGTAGAAACAAAGTTTATATACATATATACATAAAATATATATATATATATATATATTTGTATTATATAATTGAAATGAATTGTTAGCCGAGTGACTTACTATCCTTTTGGTGGCTAGAAGATATAGGTCCAAATCCCACTTTAGCCACCTTAAAAAAATTAATTTATCTCCCTTGTCAGTTTGGTGAGTAGTGCTAGAGCTTTGTGGCCTATTTGGTAGGGTAGCTTTGTTTTTTCATATTAAAATTAATTTCATTTTGGTTATTTGATACTGCAGCATAGTTTTAGAATTATTTGGTCTTTTTGGTTAAATAAAATCTTCCAGAGGTTTTTCAATATGATTTTCCCTAAAAAAATTAGCATAATTTTTAAATAAAAAAAACTATAGAAGGAAAGAAAAAACATCAAGGGGCAGCGAGGCACAAAATCTGTTGGCGTTCGACAGGATTCAATATTGGTATTTGTATGAGATCGGACTGAAAGCGAATCAAAGTGTGAAAAGGACAGGAAGAAGACATTCAACTTGACTCAACGCAAGCAATGGGTAATAAAAGCCATTTCTTCATGTTCTCAAAGGACATGCTATGTGTGCCATTGAATGAGTGTCTTCGTTTCTTTCACTCCTCTTTTAATTTTTTTTTTTCTCTGTCTCTTGCTTGGCAAGTAGTTCACAGTTCCTACCACCATGAAGTTCATCCTTGGGCTTCTCACATTTGTTACCGTCATCCTAGTCATTGGTACTGGAATAACGAAAAGAAATTATACGTCCATATGACTTTGGTTTTTTTTTTTTTCTTTCTTTTTTTGTGACTTGCAAGTGATATTCAAGCTGAATATAATGTTTTCTCAGAAAACGCGAAATAGTACATTTTGTTTTGTTTGTTTTGTCTGTTTATTAGAAGTTAGGATTTCATGATAGCTTCACAACATTCGGTTTAGTTTTGAACAGTAGTTTATCAGTTTCTTGTTCTCCTGTGGTATTGAAAATAAAAGGAGACCTAAAAATAAAAAAAAAAAAAAAGAGGAAAGAAACAAAAAGTGGGCCCCACTTGATGGACCCACACCCAATTCCTCCAAAGTAAATTTAAGTGGTAGCGTTGTGTTTGTTCAAGTTGAACCAAGATACCAGTTTTACTTTCCTTTCCATGGACGTGCTACCTTTGCCATTAATTCAGTGTCTTTGTTTCTTTCATTCATCTTTGATTTTTCATTTTCTCTCTTTTTGTTTCTACACTGGCAAGTAGTTCATGGTTCATTCCAAAAAGTTCATCGTCGGCCCTCTTTCATTTGTCTCCATCGGCTTGATCATCGGTGATGAAATGAGGGAGAAATTTTATGGTCACATGAATTTGGCTTGTTTGGTGTGACTTTTGCATGTGATTTTCAAGTTGAATATCGTGTTATTTTCTTAGCAAACAAGAAATGGTAAATTTTGTTTTAAGTGTTTTGTTTTTGCATTGCAAGTTCGAGATGGTGTTAATGAATTCATGATATCTTCTTAGCATTCAGTTTATTTTGAAGGGTAATTTCTCAGTTTTGGTTCTTCTACGGTATTGTTCACAGGGATTGGTGAACTTCCCGAGAGAAAAACACAATGTATTGGGAAAAAAAAGAGAAAGAAATAAGAAGCGGTCCCACTTGATGGGCCCACAACCCTGTTCTTCCATATTAAATTTTTCCTGATTATTATGTTATCCACTTACCAATTTGAACAAAAATATGAAAGAGGCGAAGTTTAAAGTCCAGATACATCCAAGTTGATGAAACATCTAGAACTGGTGACTTTGTGCTTTTAGAAATTCTTCTGTTTGGCCTTCCTAATAAATTTATCAGCTTCCCAAAAACAGTGCGCAAAATCCCAACTTTTGTCTGTATTTTTTCTTTTCTCTACCGCAGAATTGTATCTTCTACTTTGATGTAGAGCTAATAATAGAACTAGAATGATGATATAAAAATTATTGGGTCACTGCTTAGCAATTTCAAGAAAGCTGGGCGTAATGCGATCATATGAACTGATTGTTTTCTGTTTTGGAATTACAGGTTCTTTCTCTCAATTGGCAATGTTACGACAGTTGGAAAACTCTCACGGTAAACATGTTCTATCATATTCTGTCACATTAGGGCATAAGAATTTTGCAGATGTTGAAATTATTCTAGTTTGTTACGTATATAATGTAGACTTTCCAATGTTACATTATTGTTTGGCACCATGTGGTTATAACTATCAAAATTTTTGTCCTACCCTGTTTGTTTAAGTTGAACTAAGAGACTTGTTTTATTTACATTTTTCCTAGTGTCTGATTTCTTATTATTGTTTTGAATGATTTTGTTTATTCTTATAGAAAATGAGCCTGTCTAAGGTTTATGTTATAATGATTTCTGGTTTGAAACTTTTAGTTATCTTAAATAAGATTAGATCAAGTAATACGATGACCTGTTGGGGATAGACACAAGAGATGCAATGTCGGAAAGATTTATAGTAGATGTTTTGTTTAAATAAAACAAGAAACAATCTTGACAAGAAAATGCTTCCAAGGATTTTTAAACACCGTTATTCCAGTGCCAAGTTATCTTAAAAGTCACATTGGGTTATGACGATGAATAATTAGAGTAGTCCTTAAAGTGGAGCTGAAGTTGTAGCAGTCGCTTGAGGGCATTTTTAGCTCGATCCTAATGGAGGCTGATGCCTTTACAAATGTGTTAATGATTGTGTTAGTATGTCCTCAGCAATGAGGGGAGTTTAGAGAGTGGGAACCCATATTTAGGAGGCCTTTTGGGCTTTTTATAGGTGAATTTGGAGGTGGCCTTAAGGTAACTTCTAGTAGTAAGAATGTGATAGGGGGGGAGACACGCAGTGACTTTTGGCTAGATCTAGTGGATTTGATATAAAGCCATAGCATATGTGAAGGTTCTTATTTCTACTATACACTCTAGCCCCTTGAAATTTACATGACTATAAGAAGGTAATGATGATAATTTTATTAATTTTTGATGTAAATGTAAATTGGGATTTAAAATTTAGTTGTTTGGTGTCTAGTAGTATTTTATCTTTATCATCCTTATAGCCTAACTGTTTCATTTTAGGCACAGGCACAGGGCCTCCAAGATTTAGAAGACCGCATCAGATGGACAGTTTCCTTCAATTGCCCAGAGGTTAGGGTCTTAGATGTATGAAGCTTCTAATTGTTTCCTTACATGATTTCTTGTTTTATTTTGATGGGAAATGTTGCTATCTGTCAGAGTTTTAGTTTCATACTCTTAATTCTTTATGGGCAGACCAACTAGGTTTTGATGCACAAAGAAAGAAATAAATCTAGTGGTGCATAAGTAACTCTCGCATAGCATTAATTTACCAAGACAATGAATCATTGGCTTGAAAGAACTTTGCAATATGTTTGTAAATTCTTGGCCAAAAAGTTCCCATTTGAAATCAATGACAATAGCTGCCAAAAAATTCATTTTCTATGACCCATGGAGTAGACAAGAAAATATTTTTTCCTTAAAAGAAAGACTTGTGGGAGAAACACTAATGGTAGCCATTTGAAACTTTTATTTGTTATTGCTAAAGATATTGCTACTTCCTCCCAAACCAGAGAAAAATATGTAACTAATAGATTTTAGTGTTTACAAAGGAAAAGAACATTCAGAAAACAATCAAATTCTTGCTTTACGCCTCATCTTCCTATCACTTCATAATAAAATCCCTACCAGTGGACCAACTGTCTCACATGCACCTCACAACCCATGTGAACTAGTTTGCACTGTTATTTCCCTTTTCCCGCCAGCTTATCCAAAACTATCACATTTTAAGTCCCTCTTCCATCCTTCATCTCTCTTTCATTTTTATGGAATAAGTTAAGGTCCCTCAAAGACACATTCAGTTTATCAGTTTTAATTTTGAAAATCACAAGCTTGGGAGCACAGTAATCTTCAAAAACTGTTTTTCTCTTTGTTATGCCCAAAATCCATGAACTTGATGACTGGGAAAAGGTCTAAGTTTGCTGGAGGCACTCACTGCACAACAAAGTGACTAAATAATGTATTTATTTGCCATGCCAAGAGTAATGAGCTTCTTATTATAGTGTTACAATTACAATATGTCTAAATGCTAGATGCTCTAAGAGGTGCTAGCACTTACCATGCCCTACCTTTAATTTTCCCCCCCCTAGCCATTGCGCTACTATTCATATGACATGATTTTTCTTGATATAAATATATGTAGCTTGTATGCAGTCCTTCTCTTATTAGAACTCTTTCTTTTTCATTTTTCTTAATTTACATTTTCTAATTATTTTCAGCTTTACCATTATGGGAAAATGACAAGGAAGCAGAAACCTTACGTCTTGGACATGTATGTAGATTTCTCTTTTATTTCCACTAAACTTTTATTATCCGGAAGTTATCCAGTCTCTCTAAAAGAGTTGTCAACCTCAGATAAAGTAAAAGGCCATTGCAAGTGCTGAAAGTATACTAGGAAACTAGACACTAGGAAGAGAATATTGTTTTTATTCCTTAATCATCATTTGAACATAAATTGATAGGTTGTCATATTCAAAATGGTAATTATATATTTTTCGGTTGGATAATTCAGATTTGTTTAAGAATGTCAATCCTATATTCTCTTTGTCAACAATTTATTATGTCAAGATTTTACTATTTTCGAGATTTTTTTCTCTTAGTTTCTATGTTTATCTCCATCCAAACGAAGGGTTAGGCTAGTATATGGTCAAAATATGATGATGCCTTTTGTGTTGATGCATGGATTCAATGCATATGAGATCCGTTTTATTATCTTTTTGCTTTTTAATGAAATATGACTATGTGTCTCTATTTATTCTAGTTCTTAATTAACTCATACACTCCCTCTCAAACTTGTTTGTTTGTTTAAGTCATTTCTCATAGTTGTAAGAGTAGAGTTGATTTGCTTGATGAAATCTTTGATTTTGATTGTTCTTCTGGGCTTCTAATTGTGGTTGTAGATCAAACCTGAAGTTCTTAGCTGGTCTCCACGAATCATTTTACTGCACAACTTCCTAAGCATGGAGGTATGCCTTTTTCCTGATTGCCAAATTTTCTGTATTAACACAGTGGATTTGGACTCATTTTATAGAACAGAGGATCAAGATTATGGCCTTGTTTGTTTGTTTGCTTGTTTTTGTTTTTTTTTTGGCCTTTACCTGCACGTCTGTGCATGTTTTTTGCTGTGGCTAGCTGACTCAGTCCATTTTAAATTAGTTCAGGAAAATGATGTCACGTTACAAGTGTCACCATATTGCACTTTCTCAATTTTTCTATATATACTATAATTTCTCTTGACACGTATAATTTTGGCAAATCATTTTCTGGTACTACTCAAATGGTGCTGCTAAATGTAAATTGTGAAGTAGTATAGGGTGTTTTTATTATTTTGCTGGGAAATCCCCATATAAGGTCTTCATATGATGTGAGGCAAGAAAAAATCATGACTACTAGAACAAAAACATTAATGCTAATCTTTTTTAACAAATGTAGCTTTCGAATAAAGTTGTTGATCATAACAACTTTGCAATTGAAGGCCATTTACATATTAATTGGAATTAAGCTATTTTTCCTTTACAGGAATGTGAGTATCTTATGGCTATAGGGCACCCTTACCTTCACGATTCAATTGTGGGTGATCCAAAAACAGGAAAGGTACATTAGTATTTTATTTTTATTGGTTTTCATTTTCTAGACCATCCAAAATATGAACTTGGAGGCCTATAATTGCTTTGGTGGTTTTTTTTGATAATTTATTCATTAGATGTGATAAATGAGGTTAGCTTTACATTTTTTATGGTTAAACTAGGAAGCTATAGCGTGAGGCATGTTTGCTATGTTTCGTTGGGAAGTACTCCAAGAGACCATAGGACACTATGATTTGTAAGTCAAATGCCACTTGGAAAAGTCACACTAACAATTGAACTAGGGTTTCCTCTCCTACTGTGTCCTATCTCTTACAACGTTTGAAGTTTGAAATAAAAGTGCGGTAACCATTTGCTTTATAATATGAATCATTGGTGGAATTAGGCTAAAAAAGTATTGTAGATATAGAGTTAAAATCGATAATCATTATGACAAATATGTACAAATTTACACTCCATCCAGTGTTGCATCTGGAATATAATTAGGTTACACCTCATTTTCACAATCCTAGCTGGTGTCCACGGCTATTGTAACATGACCCAAAGAGATAATGTTTTTTTATAAATGGGGTAGCTGGTGTAATTTGTCATTGAATATTCTTGCATGTATCTCCAACTATAAACATCATAATATCTAGAAATACCACAGACAGAACAACAAAAGATCTTACCTTCCTTACATCTTAAGACAACCTTGATGATGATTGTTGAATCGAAAGCTCATCTCATCTTTGGGCAGTAAATAATAAAACCCTAGGTTGTATATGGCTGTCAATCCCTATTATCATGGGTCAATAAAACATTTTATTATAATTTATTTTCCTGATTTTTAGCTAATTGTAATTGAGGATCTGGTGGTGTGATATATACACACCATCATCATCCTTATAATCCCTTTTTGTATTTTTGATCTAGTAACAAATAAAGGAGTATCACTCTAATGTTTTTCATGGTATCAGAGCTTAAGATAATATGTTTCAAAGAACTATGAATTTCAATGCCTTCAATGCCTTTCATTGAGGTGTGGAGGACTTTGGTATGAACTCACATGAAGAGAACTCATAGAATAAGATAGATCTAGTCCACAGCACCACAAGCAATGTACTACCTCACTCCATCTTAGGGCACAAGTTGAATGGAGATAATTATCTTCACTAGTCATAGAGCATCCTCTTATTTGTTTGAGGGAGAGGAATGAAGAAGTATCTAACCGGTGAAGCAACTCAACCAGTAATCAATGATCCAAAATATGAAACATGGTATCAAGAAAATTCCATGGTTATGTCATGGCTTATCAACTCCATGAGCTTTGGAATAAGTGAAGAGTATCTTCTCACTAAGATTGCAAAAGAAATATGGGATTCATCCAGAGACACTTATTCTGCCATTGAACACATAGCAACTTTGCTCCAATTAAAAGGGAAACTATTATAGAACTGTTGTTGTTTTAGGGGATGTTGAAAGTATGGGACCTTTAACAATGGGTGGACAACTACTATTAAAAATAAACTTTCAACAACAGTTCTAAAGCCCGCTATTAAAAGTTTCGTGTTGATTTAATTTTTGAAAAAAAGGAGAGTTTTAACTCACTTTTAACAGCAATTAAAGTTGTAACCACTGTTAAAGGTTTTTTTTTTAAGTTAGTTTTGTTTCTACTTATTTTTTCAATTTGTACAAATAAAAATGTTCTATATAATTTATCGTTAGCCAGCCAATTCCAATACATATAACTAATCAAAATTTCAATATAAAATTTTATAGAAATTACACAAAACTCAAACGGTTTATACAATTTCTTAAAAAACTATCTAAGCCTCACATAATATTTGCAAAATATTGTGCCCAACGTGTGAGGATTCATCAACCTCTTTTTCAAAAAATAGATTCGCAGTATCAGATATCTAAATTAAAGTATAAAATTGTACTTAAAACATTAACTAATTCAAATAACAATAAAATTAGCTTTTAAAAAATATAATTATCTCATTTGAAAATTTAGTCATTCCCAATGTGATGATGTTGAGCATGTGCCTCATCACATATACGCCACACAAACTAGTCTTCTGTGATTGCTTACAACTCTATATAAAAACATATATATAAGCAATCGAGAATTAGCAATAAATATTGATAATTGAATAAGTTAATAAAGTGTTAGTTTAACTTACCTTTGGCTTAATCCACATAAAACCCTTTAGTTCATGTGCGTGCTTTTTCAGGCCCATTGCTTGATATGTTTTCATTGCCCAATGATGAACATCACGAGATTTGTAGTTAATACATCCATAAAAATTGATAGTTTTTGTACAAGTACACTTACGAGTCCATTGCCTTCTTTTGTCCTTGTTTGGTTTGTAATGGAAGGAGCATAAGAAAAGGACTATATTATTCTTCAATGAAAGAACAATTAGTTGACAGTAGTCCCTACAAAATAGGGTGAGTTATTAGATAAAATTCACATTTAGCAAAAAACTATCAATTGTAAATTGGTCCTTACGAGTGCACATATGGAGCCATGAAAACATCAGTTTTGAATTCACATATTCATTATTGGAGGTACCGGGATCTGATTTGTAAAGTGTTCCCTTTCTTCATCACATGATGAGGGCAAAGAAATTCAAAATTATCACCTTTGCCCAATGTAATGCACAAACGATGGAGGTACCTATGATAATACAATCATATTAGTTGACCAAACTTGATAAGTTAATTATATTCAAATAAAACATACTTACAACATAAATATCTCAGTTGACCCTGTGGTAAGCTGACTTTTCGAGAGGAACCGATTCAACTCTTCTCGTTCAATTATTATCAGATTCTCCATACCTACAATATCCTTTCCCTTTGCAAAAATTGTTACTTGGAATGATTTATCGTAAGCTAATAAAATTATTTATTGGAGAGGAGTTAACTGTGGTGGCTACGTTTGCAACGAGGGTTGTGGAAATTTCAGCAGGGGATCATTTAGTAAGGAAAGTTGAAAAGATAAGATATAGTTAATTAAAAAATAATATAAGAAAGAATTATGTAATAAAATGTATGAAATGTTTATGATAAGGATGATCTCGTTTAAGAAATCTTCAATGTCCAAAGTAGATTGTCTTCTTTCCATGTTGAAGTTGATGGTAGCATGTGCTTTTTTCACAAAGTGAACATACTTTATGATCCTTGACACTATACTCAAACAAATTCCCATAAGCAGGAAAGTCATTTATAGTGCAAAAGATCATAGCATGTAACTTAAAATTCTTCTTCCAATTTGCGTCAAACACATCCATACCTACCTCTCACAATTCTTTCAAGTCTTCAATCAAAGGTCTTAGACAAATATCACTGTCATTTTCAAGTTGTTTTGATCCTGAAATCAACATGGATAGCATCTTGTACATTTGTTTCATGCATAATCGAGGTCACAAGTTATAAATCACTAAAAGAACAGGCCATATGCTACGTATACTACTCAAGCTACCATAAGGATTCATTCCATTAGTAGAAAGTCCAAGTCTCAGTTCCTTGGCTCATTGCCAAATTCAGAAAATAATCGATCAATTTTTTTCCACTTAGAAGAATCATCTGGATGTTGAAATTTTCCATCAGATATCTTCTTATTTGCATGCCATCTCAAGTTCTTTGCATCATTAGTATTCACAAACAAACGTTTGAACCTTGGTATAATCGAAATATACCACAACACCTTTGCAGGATTCCCCTTCTCTTTGTATTGTGGTGCCTCGCATCTTGAACACTTCTCCTCACCTTCTTGATCTTTTTTGTACAGCACACAATCTTTAAGACATGCGTGTACCTTTTTGAAATTCATACTTATTGGGCACAAGATCTTCTTAGCATCATAGTTACGATTTGGTAGTACATTTTCTTTTGGAAACATTATTTGAAGTAACTCTAACAACTATGTAAAACTCTAGTCACTTCACCCAGCTCTTGCCTTCAAGGAAATCAATTTTAACACCACAGACAATAGACTAAAATTAGTACACCTTAGGTACAAAGGCTTATTTGCATTAGTGCATAAGTTATTTTATACATGTGCTTGTTCAAAAGCCTCTTTACCAACATTACAAATCATGTCCTCTAGTCAATATTCATCCATATCTACTTCATCATCAAGATTGTGATCAACTTTCACATATTGAAATGTACCACTATAATTTTCCAATCATTCATCATGCCAAATCCATACTATATAATTCTTGCAAATGCCATCGCAAATCAAATGTTCTCTCAACACTTAGTCTCTTTTCATTCAAGCAATTTACGCAAGGACAATAGAACCTCCTACTATTGTTAACAATATTTTTCTTAACAAATTTCAAAAACTCTCACCCCATTATCATACTCAACACTTGTTGGTTTAGCATTCATCTAACTATAATTCATGTCACTACCTAAAGGCGAATAAAACTAATGTTTATGTTATCATCTTCAAACTATTTTAAAAATATAAATTCCTAATTAATCTAAGATTTTAAGTAATTTAGGGAAAAGTAGAATAAATTTAAAAAAATTTTGGTAGTCTCCCCTTAAAGTTAGACCTTCAAAAACTTTTAAAATAATTTACGAGAGAAAATTTATGATTTTTCATGAAACAAATAATCACATGCAATAACCTAAGGCCTTATAAAGCTACTAGTAGCTCTACCAGGAACAATTAATATCAATAACAACTTTTACAAGCAATTAGACTTCTAACAAATTTTGGCATAATTTCCCCTAAAAATTAGACTTCCAACAAATTTTACAAACAAAAAATAAAAGTTTTGTACCACCACTTCTTCAAACAACAAAAACTTAATCACACATGCATTAATCTAAGGCATTAAGCAGTCACTAACAACACTCCAAACAAACAATTATGGTAAAAAAAAATAATTAAAAGTACACAAATAAAATTAAAGAGTAAATTAAATTGAAATAAATTAAACAAAAATTAAAATTTAAACTCAAATGAAACACTAATTAATATATATAAATTAAAAATTAAAAAAAAAATAGTACCTTTGCCAAGCTAAGGAAGAGCAATCGCGAGTAGGAGGAGGGAGGAGTTGGGGGGCCAAGAAAGGTGGGGGCTGGGGGGTCGAGAGGGTCTAGGCAAGGTTAGAGGGGTGCAAAGAGGGGTAGGGGAGGAGGGGGAGGGGAGGGGTGGTGGCAGAGTTTAGGAAGGGGGTTGAGAATGGTGGGGCGAGATTGGGGAGGGGAGGGGAGTGGATCACCGAGAAGGGTAGGGCGAGGACTTTGGTGGGTGCCGATCGAGAGGTGTGGGTTGGAGGAGTTGGGGGAGTTGAGGGGGCAGCGAGAATATGTGAAATGGGGAAGGAGGAGTGTTGATAGTGATGAAGAGATAGAGTGGGAGTTTTTTTTTTTCCCTAATTATTTGACACAATCAATAGCAGGTGTCAGCTTATCTGCTGATGAAAGTCAACTTTCAACAACTTTCAATAGTTGAAGAGTTGGCACCCACTGTTGAAAGTTGTATAATTAAAAAAAAATAAAAATAAATACTTTCAACAGTGGGTGCCAGCTCACCCACTGTTAAAAGTCTTTATAATTATTTTTTTAAAACCTTTTAACATCGGGTTAATTTATGCCCACTGTTAAAAGTATTTTCTACAGCAGTTATTTTCAACCTAATATTGAAAATCCTATCTATATTACAAAAATGTCACCGCCTTATTTTCAACAGCAGGTACCTTTGAACCAATGTTAAAAGTCCCCTATAAAATACAAATTTTATACTAGTGGGATAATAAAAGATCCCAAGTAGGAGGATTTGAAGGTAGTAGTTTACTACTCAACACTGTAGAAAATCTAGTAACAAATTGACTTGTATGATACCTGAGAATGGGCACGTCCAAGTGATCAAGCTTTATATAAGGAGCTTGTAGATCGGGAACGGACTTATGAGTTTTTACTCAACCTACATCCAAAGTTTGAAGAACTTAGATGATGAATCATGGCAATCAAACCTCTCCCAATGTTGCGTGAGGCATCGAACATTGTTAAATTTGAAAAAAGTAGTAGATTTCTAACTCAGGGAGTCACTATTCATGTCTATGAACCATCAGCTCCTGCTTATGGTAGAGGTTGAAGACAATTAAAGGGGAGGTGTGACCACTGTAACAACAGTGTACATACTTGAGACACATGTTAGAAATTAAAATCCATGGAAAACCCACTAATAGCAATAGAAATAAGTCAAGATCTAATCATCGGGGCTATTTTGTAAAAAATAAGTAGCAAACCAAATCTGATCCTGGAAAGTTGAGTGCAGTAGAACTCGAAAGCCTTAGAAATATCCTTGAAAAATATAGCCTGAGCAATCCAATGCTAGGACGCACTTGTGCTAGGAGCAATCCAATGGGTAATCTTTCCCAAACAAGTAAAGATGTTCAAGTCCTTAAGACTATGAGTATAAAACTAGATTATTGGATTGTGGATTCACGTGCTACTGACCATATGACTGATAATTTAGCTTTATTCAATGAAATACAACTATGTAGTGGGAATAATGTAAAGGTGGCTGTGGGGAAACACACTAACATCATTGGTATTGGTACTACTCATACCACAGACAAGATCACCTTGATTGATGTAAAATATGCATCAAATTTGAAATTTGACTTATTAATTGTACCCCAACTAAGAAAGGCCCTAAAATGTAGCGTTAATATGTTTGTTACTGGGTGTATTTTTTAGGAATTGTACCTGGGAAAAATAACTGACAATGCTATATTATTTCAATTGCAACAAGTCAGTGGCCAAGAAAGTTTTTTCATTAAGCACTTCTCTAAAGATTGCATGTTGATGCATTATACACTAGGACATCCTAGCTTTCATTACATGTAGAAAATGTTCCCAAATGTTATGAATAAAAAGGATATGTCTTTCCACTGTGATGTGTATCAATTAGCAAAACATACTAGAAACACTTTTCTCCCTCAGCCTTACAAATCCTTTCAACCCTTCTCATTAATTCATACTGATATATGGAGGCCATCAAACACTCCAGTCTTATCTAGTACCCATTGGTTTGTTACCTTCCTTTGTGACCACACATGGCTAACATAGGTATTTGTTATAGAAAGAAAATATGATTTGTTTGAAATTTTAAAAAATTATCATCAAATGATAAAAAATAAGGGAAAATCACTAGGAAAGACCTCCTTTGGAGGCAAATTGTGCTAAGGGACCAAGATAAATTGAAGGATCAAGTATTTACATGAATGAATCAAAATGTCCCTATGCCTATAACCTTGCATCCCAAGCCTATATATACCCTTTAGCCCCAAGTTTGTCATCTAGCACCTTAAACCACAAGTCTTTAAGCTTTCACCCAAAGCCTATCACCTTATACCTTGCAACTCAAGCCTATGCCCTTGTACCCTAAGCCTATAAGTGTACACCCTAAGCCTATATCCATGCACCCAAAGCTTATATTTTGCACCCTAAGCCTATTCACTTGCAAATTGGAGCTAATGATTTGTACCTTGAAGCTAATGCACTCATGTCAATTTTCATGATATGTGCATTGCATTTCATGAAATAACATGTGACAGGAAGATTTGTTGTCCTTTAAGTGATTACATTTTTAGAATATGTCAATCATTTATCATGGAAAAAGCTTATAGGTTTGGGATGCAAGGGTATAAGCTTTAGGTGCAAGAGTATAAACTTGAGGTGTAAGGTTTTGGGCTTTCATAGGCTCGAGGTGTAAGGGTATAGGCTTGGGGTGCAAAGGTGTAATCTTTAGGGGCAAGGTAATAGGCTTGGGGTGCAGGTATATAGGCTTGAGGTATAAAGGTACAGGCTTAAAGTGCACGGTGCAATATGATTGGCTTTAGGTGTAAGCTTATAGGTTTGGGGTGCAATAATATAGGCTTTAGGTGTAAGGTTATAAGGCTTGGTATGTAAGGCTATAAGCTTTGGGTGCAAGGCTATAGTTAGAGGAAATTTCGGTCCATTCACTCAAACACTTGGTCCTTCAATTTGTCTTTATCCCTCAGCACAACTTCTCTCCCATGGAGGTCTTTTTTGACAATGCTCCCAAAACTCAATTCCAAGCATTGATAAAAATTCTTCAAAGTGATAATGGGAGAGAGTACCTTAGTTCTCAATTTACTATTTGAATGTGATGCGTAAGATAGGAAGAATAGAGAAGAATAGAGAGAGAGGAGAGAGAAGGGACGAGAGGATTTATGAATAGTACTCAGGACTTATTATTTCAAAAACATATGGATGAATTACATAGAGTTTGTATTTATAGGTCTCTCTAGGATAGGCTAACGGTTTAGTGGTAACTAATCGTAACTGAATGAATTATCCTCTAATTATCTATTTACACATCAATACCCCCCTTCAAGAACCCTTGACCTTAAGGGTTAGAAATAACAAAACTAGGGTGCTGTTTCTGTAATTGAAACAAAGAAATCCAGCTAGCCTCTTCATTTAGAAGGTTCTTCCATTTCACAAGAACTTCCATGATAATCATGCCTTTTCTTCTACCCCTCTGTTCGTTCAATATTTCCTCTGGAATTAAATCTAAAGGAGATTTTGGCCAATCAACAGGGGGATGCCACTGCTTTGCTGAAGGATCAGGGCATGATTTGAGCAATGAGACATGAAAAGTGGAGTAAACCCTTGATTCTGGAGGTAATTCCAGTTTATATGCTACTGGCCCTATCTTTTTACAGATTCTATAGGGCCCAAAATATCTTGGGGCTAATTTCTGAGAGCTTCTCGAGGCTACAGAAATCTGATGATAAGGCTGTAAGTTCAGAAATACCCATTGTCCTACCTCAAACTCTATCACTTCTGTGCAAATCTGCTTTCTGCTTCATTCTATTCACAGCCCTATTGAGATGATATTTTACCATTGCTAGAGTCTCTTCTCTTGCTGAAAAAGTTCTGTCAACAGCTTCTACTACCACATCTCTAGGCAAATATGGAATATGCATGGGATGAACCTATCCATACAACAGTTCATAAGCAGTAGTTTTTATGGAAGTGTGATAGGATGTGTTATACCACTACTTTGCTAAAGAAAGCCATTTGTGCCACTCCTTAGGTCTTTCTCAGGACATACACCTTAGATAATTTTCCAAACAACGATTAAGTACCTCTGACTGTCCATCCGTTTGTGGGTGATATGAGGAGGTAAGTTTCTGTTCCACTCCTAAAACCTTCAAAAATTCCCTCCAAAAATTACTGATAAAGAGGGGATCTCTATCACTAATAATTTCAATCGGTGACCCATGCAATTTGTACACATGGTCTAAAAATTGTTGTGGCAATGTAGATGCTGTGAAAGGATGAGATAAAGACAGAAAGTGTGCATATTTACTAAAACGATCAATGACTACCCAAATCATATCTTTCCCATTTGATTTGGGCAACCCTTCTATAAAATCCATGGTCACACTCTCCCAAACTCGATTGAGAATAGGTAAAGGCTGTAGTAGCCTGGGATAAGCCATTGATTCAGCCTTACATCTTGCACATGTATCATAG